AAATACCACACAATTCTTTCCCGTTTACATATCTAACACCTAAAATTTAATATTTACACTTATAACATCATTATATTGTAAATCTATGCATGAAAGGGTTTATTACACTTTTACAGAAATAGTGATTGCAGTCTTTTTAGTGTGGTGTTAAATATTTGAGTGTTATATAGGCTGGGGGTGAAACGGAGCCGAACACGAGCGAGCCCATGCTCAACTCGTGTTCGCTCGTTTATATTTCGAGCTCAAAAAGTATGTTCGTGTTAGACTCGTTTGTTTAGCGAGCCGAATAACACGAGTCATTCACTAACAAAGAGTCGTTTTGACAACCCTAATCAGGTAGCCATAAGATGTTAAAGATTGAGGCAAGATTTAAAAATTATTATTTATATTAAAACATCATTTGAATCTAATTTAATAATTTTTATTCTATTTTCTTAATTAATATCTATAATTTATTATATTTCATTAAAGCCTTGTCGTCAATTAAGTTTTTTAAAAATATTACTCATTAAATACACCCGCACACATGAATAGTAGTATTTCGAGTCAAAACGAGCCAAACACGAACGAACCACCATCCATGAGTAGGTAATGTGGCATAAATTTAAGAATTGAAGTGTAGGGGTCAGATATGTAAATGCATATTAATTGAGTGGTATAAATGTAAATATTCCTAGTTAAATTACTTGAAAGCACGTTTTCTTTATTTCTCAGTGAAAATATGGAAAGAGACAGCATGGCATTTATAATTAATTGGAATATTATTATTCTACCATATCTCAAAATTGTGAAACCCCACCAAGTGGAAAATATATATATATATATATATATATATAATTTGATAAAAAATGAAAAATATGTGTTGGGTTTTGCAATGAATTTGGTATTTGAGTGAGAGTTTGAGAAATGAATGAAAGAGGGTGGTAATTTGTAAATAGCAAATTTTGGGGGGTGTGTTTGTAATTGCACCTTGTTAGGTATAGGAGTGAAGTCAAAGCAAAGAATATGGTTTCCCATGCTTTTCACTTCAAGAGCAATGCAAATATGAAGCACAAACTCTTTCCATCAACTTCTTATGGGGCATTTACATAAGTACCACCAAAATCCTATAGATTTACATATCTAACTCCAAAAGTATTGTGTTATTGCATTATTTAAAGTAGTGTAATTACAAGGAGACCTTGACTTGGTTGTTTCCTATCAATTTTTGCTCCTTTAAAGTCTATGGGTGACCCATTCGAAAAAATATTGCATCAGGGCTCTGCACATAGTGTTGCGTGCGAAATCCGATGAAATCACGCCACATGGAGGTGATAGAAAAAAAATCGGTCTGGTAACACCAGAGAATATCCCTTCGTGTTATTGTGTTCTGGGAATACTCCAAGTGTTATAATAACACAATAACACATCAATAATACTTGACACATCAATAATACTTGAATAACATAACACACAATAACAAATGAATAACACACAATAACACATGAATAACACGGGAGAAATATTTCTTTGGGTTACTGGACATATTTTATTATTTTCTTTTTGTCACCGTCACGTGACGTCATTTCATTGGACTCCGCACGTAACTCTTGATGCAACATCTTCTCGGCCCATTGTTCCTCTTAATCAAAATAAGGAAAATTTACATAAATACCACTGAGTTCTTATGTATTTACATGTCTAACATACAAACTTCATTGTTAGAAATATACCATCCTACATTTTTGAATTGTTAAAGTCTGGGTGGTATGAGTGTAAGAAAGCAAAATGTAGAGGGTAGATATGAAAATTCGTAGTAATTTAATGGTCAATGTAAAAGCCTCTCAACATAAATGTGCTAATAATTTCGAAGTCTACTGGTCAGCCTTTCTTATCCAAGTCCCCCATGCCGCCACCGACACTAATCATAATATTATTTTAATTTAGATGATTATTATAATATTAGTTTTAGGGCTGTCAAAACGGCTCGCTGTTCACGAACAGCTTGTGTTCGGCTCGTTAAGAAACTCGTGTTCGGCTCGTTAATTTTGTTCGATAAGTTAATGAGTTGAATACAAACTAAGATGTGTTCCTTTGTGTTCGGCACGTTTTGGCTTAAAATACTACTCATCAAGTATATATATATATATATATGAATGTGTATTTTTCTTAAAATTTAATA